GGACGTGACCCTCACCGGAGAGTGCGACGCCGACTGTGAAATGGTGAGCGCACAGTCGGCGAGACTCGGACGATAGCGTCCGGTCACACAAGTCGCAAACCGGGGCGACTAAAAGAACGAAGAGCACCGACAGGGGGACTCAAAAACGGAGTAAGGTGGAGAGGTCTCACAGCTTCCCAAAGAGGGGAAGGGGGAGAACAATCACCGACCCGTCGGGGAAAGGAGTCGATAAGATAGCGAAGGAGAATTCGAGAGCAGAAATCGCTCAACTCAAGGAGGAAAAACGGAACCTTGAGGAATATCTGCGGGGGGATTATAGCTCCTTGGAATTCCCAGCCAGGAAGGAGGAGTTAATAAGGGAGCTGAGGGAATCTATCCCAAATACCCCATCGCAGGATCTGGTGGCGCAGATGATCCGCAGCGCCCGCTTGGTGGACGACCTCGCCACCAGATCAAGCCGCTTGAAGGGCGGCTTTGTCAAGCAGCTCAGAGAAGGAGCCGCTTTCTTAGAATACGCGGCGGATGCCCTGTTCAGTCGGGCGAACAACAGCACGGCTGGCAGGTTGGAAGAGGAGAATAACTCCCTCAGGAGGCAGTTGGAGGCCCTCCAAAAGGAGATGAGGGACAAGGAGAAGATGCCCCCTCCTCTCCTACCCCGGCTGTCCCCGCGAACATCGGCAGGGAGGCGATGGACGCATCCCCATCGCAACTGGAGGATGTGTTATCAGAGGATACACCGAATGCCCTGTCCCCCTACCTATCGGCTAGGGGTGGACAAAGGGACCTTACAGAGGGGGATAGAGGGAACTTGGTTATAGTTCCCTCTGCCCCCCTCCAGCAGAGAGATGGGAGAAGCAGGGAGAGAAAGAGGGTGGCGATCCCAAAAAAGGGAAAGACCCCCTCCCAATCTCCAGCAGCGAAGAAGCTTGATCCATCACCCTCTCCTTCCAGGCAAACTTTGCCAAAGAGCGCAAAGGAACTGGAGAGGGTGGTGGAGAGAAGTGTAAAAGAAGCTGTCGATCGATGCAAGAAAGATATGGATCGGCAAATGAAGAAGATGGAGGAGATGATTAGGGACCTCGTGGCCGCCGGTGGGGCCCGAAATAGCGGT